TTAATATTATATTTATTTCTTATGATATTAAATATTATGAATTAATTAATATTTAATTGTAAATTAATTGAATTAAATAAAATATATATTAATTCCAATATCAATTCAAGAAATTTTTTTTTTTTTAGTGGTTTTCTTTACCAATGTTACCTTTGTTGGTAACTTGAGGCTTAAATTGTTGATTTCCTCCTGGAAACCTCCTAGACCAACGTGATCTTCATCGGTAAGCTGCCAAACGAAAAATGGCTTTCTTCATTCCCGATGTTAATCTTGTCAGTAAATTAAAATTTTTGTACAGCTTCTTCCTCGGTGAATTAGCGACATAGCACACCTTCAGAGGCATTGCTGTACTTGGAGATGTGATCTTTGTCGGTAAATTACCAACGTGGGTTACCAGAAAAAATCTCTGATGATACTGTTCCGGCTTTTTGGTGGAGATATGTTTCTTGTCGGTAATTGGCAGCCTTCTCACCGACGTAGCTTTAATCCACGTCGGTAAATGAATTACCGAGGCCACTTTTAACGACAACAAGTTTACTGACATGATTCAAGTGGGAAGTTAGTTTTACCGACGTGATTTCCTTTCTTTCCAACATGCTTTCTCATCGGTGAAGTTGTGAATTCTTGTAGTGCGTGAAAATAACATACAAAAAAAAATTAATGATGTGTACCAAAAAATTAATTCTCTCCACAAAAAATGACTTAGAAATATAATGCTGATAAAGATGATAATGTGAACAGAAAAATATATTAAATTACTATATCAATTTTACTAGACCTATTTAATACGTAGTATTTAATTATTTATTTTCTTTGATCAAATTTAATAGTTTTCAAATAAATTTTTTGAATTTTCAAATATAAAGTAGATAAAAATTTAATAATTTTCAACAAAAATTTTTGTTCTTTCCATCTCCTACAAAATTAATTTTTCATAGTAAATTTGTTCTCCTCATTCCTCTACACATTTCAATTCCAGGTCAAATTTGTTCCCATAATCTTGACCAATATTCCCTCCCCTCTACCAATTTCGACAGCTGGTTAACCATGAAATCCAAAATCAACGACACAAAAAATCCTAGATCCAAATATCCAATACCCAAGCCAAGAATGGTGAAGCAAAAAAGAACAATAGAAAAAGGAACAACCAAAGAAACTCATGTCGGAGTAAGACAACAAATGAAGAAATTCAGAGAAATAGAAAAGGAAAGGCACAAAAAAACTCAAGAAACAAAAAAAAAAGAAAAAGAAAAAACAAATCCAACCAATAGATTTGTACTAAATTTAAAGAACTCGAGTTTTTTCTTATCAACCATTTCTTGATTTACACAGGAAAAAAAAAAAAGGCAACAAAAAGGCAACCATTAGGATTTGGGTGGTGGAAACTGAGTGAGCAATGGTGAAATTCCTGAAGCCAAACCCAACCCATTGTCCTTTAAGGTAGCCATCATCATTCAAGGTTGCCATTGTCCTTTAAGGTCATTGTGCCAGTTGCTAGGTCGTCATCGTCAAGTCCTTCCACGACGGTAGGCAAGATCACTCCTATGGCCAGTGCTTGGTCATCAGGATAAAAGTACCTTAGTAAGGTCATTCGAAAGGACTTCAGTAAGAAAACGACTGAAAAAACAAAGACAATCAAACTAGTAGATCTGGGATGAGGAGAAGAAGGGGTTGCTGAAGAAAGGTAAGAGATTTGATGGAGCTGAAGATTAGTGTGAAGATTTGAGGGCTTTGATGGAAGAATGGTTAGCGAAGAGGAAATCAATGGATGAAAGCGGGGTTGGGTTCAGGCGGAAGTAGAGAGGATTAGGGATTTGGGCTTAGGAAGAAGATGAGGATAGAAATGGGATAGCAAGATGATGAGGACAGAAATGGAAAAAGAAAAGATAAAGGGCAAAAGATGACTTTTTCTAATTATATTAGACCCTATTGATTATATGGAAAGCAATTTTTATTGTCGATTCATTAATTTTATAATGAGTAATTATACCTTAATATTAAAAAAAATAAAATATTTAATAATTATAGTATTACGCTTGTGACTTAACTGATAAATAAACAAACTGAAAAAAGATTGAATTTTAAATTTTAGAAATTAAAAAAAAAAACTTTTTTAAGTAAAAAGATTAAAATTTTATTTTATTAAAATAAAGGAACTAAAGTGAATTTAAACTTCAAGCTATCGCCGGCAACTTAATACAACTGGTTAGCAAGTTTTCCTTTAATGTCCCATCAAAAATAAAAAATAAAAAATTTTCTTCAATGTCCATCTGTTAACAAATACTGTAGTACATAAAAAAAACTTTAATGGTGGTTTGATGGTTAAAAATTTAAAATTCAAAGTTGAGAATTTTAAATTTGAAAACCGAAATTAAAAGGAAAATATCAAAAGCTTTCCCAAACTAAGGAAAATCGTCGTTCTCACCACCGCTACCAATCTTCAGTATATCCAAAGTTCCAAAATCGAAGGTGAAGGTGAAAGGTGTAAGGGTAGGTCCGAGGTGCCCAACCTCGGACGTACGACAGTAATTCCTTTACAACCGGAATGAAAAGTAAATCCAGAGCTCCCTGCTCAGACGGCTGCACAGCAGTTATGATGGACATCCTCACAACAGATCCCGAATATCTTGCTGGGCTTAATTTCCCGATCCCGAAATAACTGCCTGAAGATATATATCAAATCCCGAATATCTTGTTGGGCTTAATTTCCCGATCCCGAAATAACTGCCCGGAGATACACACCAGATCCCGAAAGTCTTGCTTAGCATGCCGCGTGGGTTCTTCATTGGAACATATAAATACCCCTCAAGGGTCACGTCAAAAAGGTAATTGAAACCAACCCTAAGCTCTTCTAATCTTCGCTCTGTTGGTAACCCCGATTATTACTGACTTAAGCATCGGAGTGTCTACCCCGAGATCCATCTCGGGGCTTTGCAGGTCAATCCGGAGTGCAGATATGAACTGAAGAAGGACATCTGGTTTGGTGCAATTACATTTTGGCGCCGTCTGTGGGAATTCGGACTAAAAGCTTCCTTGTCGCTCTTATCATGGTTAAAACTAGGTCAGCCCGAGGTGGAAACTCGTCTCAGCCTCTTGGACGAGGTCAGGTCCCCAGCAACCTTCCACCTCATCCCCCGTCCCCAATCCTGAATACACTCCCTCGTGTTGACCATACAGAAGGAGGAGATGAAAATGAACCACACAATTCGATTCACAACTCAGCCTCTACTGCCAACCAAGACGTAGTTGCAGCCCAGCTCGTCGCCATGCAACAACAGTTTGGTGTCTTTCAGCTAGTGCTGGCTCAGCTATTAGCTCGGAACAATCCTGGTGATCCGCTCATCAACCTACTCAATCCTGCTCCACAACCCCCAGCTCCACAACAAAATCCTGAACCAGTTCAACATGCTCATGCTATTAGTGAATCCCAGGGCCAATCTCACATCGCACCAGTTCAGCAACCTCTTCATGATGATGTTCCTCGACGTCTAGACAGCTTGGAAAAGCTAGTGGCTGAATAGCGAGGTGCCCCACCTCCACATCATGATGTTGATTCCATACCCCACCCTCTGAACACTAACATCACATTAGAACCCTACCCTGCTGGCTTCAGAATACCTCAACTTGAGACTTATGATGGGACAAAAGACCCTAATGATCATCTGCATGCTTTCTACTCTTGCATGCAAGCCCAGAATGCCTCTGATGCATTGATGTGCAAAATATTTCCTTCTACTCTCCGAGGAAACGCTCGTACCTGGTATTACAGTCTACCCCCAAAGTCAATCAATTCTTATACAGGACTGGCGTCTGCTTTTGCCACAAAGTTTTCCAGTAGAAGGTTGATAAGGAAAACCACTTCTGAGTTGATGCGAGTCCGGCAGAGGGACGACGAGTCTTTGAAGAATTTTATGAGCAGATTCAATGATGCAGTGTTGGAGGTTAACTCCTTCGACCAGGCTGTGGGCATTACGGCTGTGATCTCAAGTCTTGGCCATGAGAGATTCAGAGATAGTCTGCTTAAACATCCTGCCACCACCTTCAGCGAGGTAAATGATAGATCACTGAAATTCATCACTGCTGAGGAATATGCCTTGTCGCAGAACCCAACTCCTATTAAGAACCAATATTCGGACTGGAGAGATGAGAATCCGAACAGGAAACGGATGAAGACAACACAGAACCGAGGTTCGATGTCGGCTTCCACCCTGAGATTCGGAAGGCCGAACTCCGCACCCCCACAATAACCTGCAGGTAAACCTCCAGTTACTTGGACTCCTTTTAATTTACCGAGGTCACAAATCTTTATGCAGATTAAGAATAAGATGGACTTAAGACGTCCGGGTCCAATGAGAACTACTGCTGCTGCCAGAGATCATACTAGGTATTGTGATTTTCATCAAGATCACGGTCATACAACAGAGCAGTGCAACAGTCTGAGGTCCGAACTGGAAAGTCTGGCTCAGAAGGGAATGTTGAATGAATACATCCAGAGGGGTGAACAGCCAAAGTTTGTCAGAGAACAGGGGCTACAGCATCAAGGAGTTCGCAATCCCCCAAACAGGCAAGGTGTGGGATATCAGCAAGTGCTACCCCCGCTCCCACCACCAGCTAGAATCATACACATGATTACGGGAGGCTTGGAAGCAGGTGGACTGAGCTCTAAGCAGCGCAAGTTATATGTCAGAGAGGTTAAGCATCAGAACCGAGCTTAGAAGCGAAAGTTTGACGATGCTGAGTGGAAGAATCAACCCATTACTTTCACATCTGCTGATCTCGATACAGTCGTCACACCTCATAATGACCCCTTAGTCACTTCTGTCACAATTAACAATTGTGAGGTGCAGCGTGTCCTTGTTGACACAGGGAGTGCACCAGACATCATGTACTTCCATTGTTTTGAGAGTCTTGGTTTGGATCCAACTTTGTTGCAGCGGTATGATGGTCCCATCTACGGATTCAACAATCAACCAGTCCCAGTTGAAGGAGTCCTCACCATGAATGTTGCATTTGGAAGTGGCTGAACCTACGTGGCTCATTCCGTCCGGTTTCTAGTAGTCAAGATGGCGTCCTCCTTCAACGTCGTTATTGGTCGACCCACACTAACTGAAATCCGAGCTGTAGTTTCTCAATCTCACCTCTGCATGAAGTTCCCAACTCCTATGGGAATAGCAACACTGCGAGGCAACCAGGAGGTGGCTAGGCATTGCTATATCACCTCGGTTACACAACCTAAGAAGGGCAAGGCCCAGATGCCCGAGGCAGCTCCTCAAAAGATTTCTGACAATCAGCAAGTCATGGGTGTTGAAATAGTAGATAACCGACCGGAGGATGAAACCCAAGCTGCTCCAGTGGAGGATGTGGAAGAAGTACAGACTGATGACAGAGATCCGAGCCGAAAAACGCAAATAGGGACTAAACTGGACCCGAAGGAAAGAGCAGACCTAATAGCTTTTCTCCGGGCCAACAAAGATGTTTTTGCATGGACTTCAGCCGATATGCCGGGAGTTCCTACTTCGGTTTCTCAACATAAGCTCAGCACCAATCCACTCAAGAAACCAGTAGCTCAGAAGCGGCGCCTCTTTGGGGGAGAAAGGTTAAAAGTCATTAAAGAAGAAGTCGAGAAACTCCTACAAGCTGGCTTTGTCAGGAGGGTCGATTACTGTGAGTGGGTCGCCAATCTGGTGCTGGTGAAAAAAGCAAACGGTAAATGGCGGATGTGCATCGATTACACTAACCTCAACGATGCATGTCCAAATGACTGTTACCCAATGCCAAACATTGATAAGCTGGTTGAGGCAGCTTCGGGAAATGAGAGATTAAGTCTCTTGGATGCATATTCAGGATATCACCAGGTGCCAATGGCTCCAGAAGACGAAGAAAAAACCTCGTTCTATGCCGGCGATGAAATTTATTGCTATGTGATGATGCCCTTCGGCTTGAAGAACGCAGGTGCCACTTACTAGAAGATGGTTACCATCGTATTCCGAGCTCAGATAGGACGGAATCTGGAAGTTTATGTTGATGATATAGTGGTAAAGAGTTTGAAAGCTGACGATCACTTAACCGACCTTGAGGAGACATTCAACAATCTCAGACAGAATAGAATGAGGTTAAACCCAGCCAAATGCATCTTTGGTGTGGAGTCTGGAAAATTCCTGGGTTTTATGGTTTCCCGGAGAGGGATTGAGGTCAACCCAGAGAAGATTAGAGCAATTGCCGAGATGGAACCGCCGAAGTCAGTGAAGGACATACAGAGGTTGACTGGAAGGGTAGCAGCTCTTCATCGGTTCATATCGAAGTCAGCAGATAAGTGCCTACCATTTTTCAAGATTATGCAGTCAGTTGCCCAGAAGGATGAATCGGGTAAACAGAAGAAGTT